TGATAAGACATGCTGTTCAGCGGTTTAGGACAGCAGGTCCACATCAGCTATTACAGCTGCCAAATTAATCAACCTGCTTAAACAAATAAATGAACAACAACAACAGTATCATCAGCTTCCTTGGACAGCATTTTTTATGTCAAAATTGTTGGCAAATCTTCCCTGTTCCTTGGGAAGCACCTTTCTGGTGTATACAAAATTTTCAATTACAAGCTTTTGGAAGGGCAAATATCTAACTGAACCAAAAAGGTGGAAGTTAAAAACAATGTTTTGTATTCCCACAAACTCACTGCATACCACTAAATAATATGCAGACTAGACCTGTAGTTATGTGCATCATTTTCTATCCTTCACAGACCACTATGTACTGCACCTTCAAAGTCATCTTCTGATGAAGTGGAAGATAGAGCTACATGTGAGTTACATGTTTTGACTTGAAAAACCATTTTGAAAATAACAAGTTTGTCACCATGGATTTAGTCAAATAATAATAATAATAATAATGAATTAGCCCAGCTTGCCATAAAGTCTCCTATAGCTCAGTAGTAGAGCATCCAAAGCACTAATCAGAACATCATGAATTGGACTCTTGTTAGGAGGACTTGGGTTTTTTTTTTCTCTCTGGTCATACCTGTGACATTTGCAGAATAACATCATCCTTCAACTACAGGTCTATTTGATATTTTTTGATATATGTAGGTTTTAATCTGTAGATAGAATAAGAAAGATGGTAAATCCTTTGGAATTCGAATGTCTGAGGTTCAATTCCTCGTGGGACTCAATTGTTTCTTTGTCCCATCCTTGTGACAAGATGAACGACATCTTTCTCTATTTCTTTACCAAGCTCAAAATTTAGCATCCTTCCTATTCTACTGGCAAACATGATGCTATCAACATTGCCAATCCTAGCAGTAGGCAGAACACATGTCACATATGAACTTGGTAATGGGCCTTGGTCACAACAGAGTCTCTGTGGCTCAGTGGTAGAGCATCAGAGTGCGGAATCCGAAGGTCTGAGACAAGACCAAACAACATCTTTCTCAGGTCTTAAACTTGTTGGATACACACTGAATCAAAATATGGTGTCCAATTTTAACTGCCATTGTTCTGGACTTACTAGCCTCTCACACATGTGATAATCCTTTTGTGTTTCCACGTGAAGACAAGGCTAGTAAGTCTAGAACAATGGTAATTCAAATTGGAGGCCATATTTCACTTCGGTGTATAGTTTTCCAGTTTATTAATTATAACCTGTTGACAACAAAAGTCCAAAGAGTGAAGATTCTGAGGTTAAAGAATTATTTCTTTTTATATTTCAGTTGATTTAGAAGCTCTCTATACCTCTTCCAGGAAAAGGTAAGTTGCCCTGTTGGCTTCCAGACCACAGAAACTAGTTGAACTGGTAAAACCAGCTTTAACATGAACTAACTATCCATGTCAGTGTTGTAAGTTAAAGTGAGAATCAGGTTAGAATTACCAATTTCAATTTTTTTTGTAATTATGATATTACTTCTAGAACAAACTAAGTATAAATTACACTAGTTTGAACTCATTTTGACTTGACTTAATTTGTGTCATGGTTCAGTTTTCTCCTTTGTTTGATATTTTTGTTAATCAGTTCGATTTTCAGTTTTCTTTAATTTCTCTTCAATTGATCATCATAATTGGAAGTAATGAAGGGTAAAATTTACAAATTGAAGTGGTTTATCAAAAATTTAAACCAGTGTTGACTGTACAAAACATACCTTTTATTCTTCAAACAGGGTTATGTTATAATTCCACAAATATTTATTAGGTTTTAAATGTTGTAAGCCAGAGAAAAAAATTAAACCACATTTTTATTACTCACAAAAATGAAGGAAAACCTCTATGGTCAACCCTTTACTTTAAAATTTTTCCTTTATTTCTAAATTGCCTACCTAAGAAACTTGAGAGCAAATCTACAGTTGTCAGTGTACTTTTTTAAAGATCCTCAAGTATACTTAACCTGTTTTTTGTTTTGTTTTGTTTTTTTCCCAGAGATCCATTTGCTGTATTGAGAGCATTGGAGTCTACTGTAAAACCTGTGAGTATCCTTTTTCTCTTGTTTTATCCTTACTGCAATTAAAACTTGCTCTCCAATGGTTACATTAATCTTTAAATTAACTAATTAATTATGTTTTGATTCTTGGGAGGCAAATCATACGATTTGCCACCTTCTACTTTGAACAGTGTATTCAGTCTTTCTCTCTTAACTTTTTTACAATCTTAATAAATTTTTGAATGTTAAAAATTCTTTCTTTTGATATTCAGACACATTTCATGCCCAACCCTGAGTTTATTGAAGATGCTAATTTGCTCCCAAAAAAAAGAGACATGAAGGTTTGTTCTTGATATGGTAATGGCGGATGATGTTTTAGATCTTGTTTTATTATTTTTGTCTCTCTGTGTTGAAGTTTGTTGAATGCATAATAATAATTTAATAACTTAATATTTATATTGCGCAAATTAACATGTGGATATGATCAAATGCACATCACAACACTTTTCGGGGGACTTTGGCCAGACTGCATCATGTAGAAACTGTACAGTTCTTAGAAGTAGTTAAAGTTAGGTAATACTGCATTTACATAATGTCTTCATGTCTAGATCCTTTGCTTCAACTTTGATTTGTTTTATTGGATTTTAATTTTTATTAATTGTAATTAGGATTTTATAATTTACAGTTATGTAACAATCCTGTTGATAAAGGCTGATAGTTTCAAAAGAAACTGTTTGGGGCTGTGTCAGTGGGGGTAACGAAATAATTTGGATATATCAACTTTGTTGATATATCCAAAGTATTCGCTCCGACGAAGGGCTAACGCTCGAAATGTCAGCTTTTATAATCGCTACGGTGGCCAATTTACCATTTCAACTTTGTTGATATATCCAAATTAATCCTGTTGATAGTTTCTTCTTTCTTGTAGGAAAAGTGTTTTTGGGCTAAGAGGTCGGGTGTGGAAGCGGCCAAGTTTGTGATCTCAAATTGCCCTGGAATTTTTCCACTTTGGAATGCAAACCCTGTAGGTGGACATTTTATGCATAAATCACACCCCAATTTGATTCCCATAACCCTTTAACTCCATGAGTGACCATAATAACGTTTAACAACGCTGTGCTCTGAGGAAAATTGAATGGAGCCCAGTGCTCTGAAACTGTGAAATCCAGGGTGCCCAGCATATGCTTTGTATGAAAAAAAATAAAATTTCCAAGTCACCCAAGAGCAAAAGTAAGGCGCCAGGGGCCACCAGGCACTGCTAGAGCACAGCCTTGTTTAAGTATTGTATGATAGACAGTATAGGGGAATCCTTGTTTACAATATTTGCCTCATTAGCATAAGCAATTCAGTTTCTGATGGAGCTAAAAATAAATCAGTTCTGAATATCGAAAGTTCAAAGTACGATTAGCTCGGCCAATGAATACGAGCCTGATGCATTGCATACTTTTTGTGCAACACGGGTTTAAAAACTCAAAATTTTACGTAGAATGTATGAGCTCATTAGTGCTTTTGCCACCCAGAAATTTTGCAGTTTTTGATGGACTTTTTCTCCTTGAATATTACACCCAAAGAGCTAAAGATTTCACCATGTACTAAGGTTTTCTAGCTCTTTAGCTGCCTGAAGTCAATTTGTATCTAACATGCTTCCTTCTTTATGCAAAGCCGTATGCAAATGAGCAAAAATGTAAACAATGACGTCAGCGTGAATCCGCCTATAGAGAATTGCCAATGAGAGCTTGAAGCATTTGGTATTTGATCAACTCCTGGTAATAACCCCCTAAATGATATTTTTCTTCATTCTCATCACTTTTTTGTTTGATGTTGCACTGGTAGTGTATGTAGAAATTCTGTATTGGTCACTCTTGGGGGTTTAAGTGTAAAGATTTCTAGTCTTTGTCTACATTTGTTTTGTGTACCTTCCATCTTTTTTTCATCTCTCCTTTTCACACCAGGCATGGAAAGTAGATGCCCAGACTGTTGCGGATGACGACATTCAAACTGAAGATCAACTTAAAGGTTAGTCAGAAGTTGCATTTTGATTTGAACAAGTGCACTAAAACATTGATGGAATTAATCACCAACATCAAAAGTGTTATCGTGATTAAGTAGTTTTCCTACTTGATGCATATTGGTAAAATTTTGATCAACAAACTTGACTGAGAGATCACAAACCAACCAATAAAAATATCGAAAAACCCTACACAGTTTTGAAGACCAACCCCTCAAGATTGAAATTACAAGTGAAAGTGCAGTGAGATCATCTAGGTGAGAGCAGTCCTGAGAAGGACTGTTGGTGGTGGTAGTGGCTGACATTTCAACAACCTGTGCTGAAGTCATCATCAGAGTCAAGTGAATAGTTGTTGTCAGTAGAATGTTCTTAGTCCAGTTTGTGTAAAATGATTGGTCAGTTTTGCCTTGATGTTATTGGCTGTAAGACTCCAGTGGCGTAAGTTGGTTGTAATTGGTCTGTTTGGATCTGTCAGTAAAGTTCGGTTTGTTTGAAATGTTAATGTTGTGAATGAGTCATTTGTATGGACCCGGTAGTAGTTAACACCTGTTTAGGGGAGTCTGTTCTTGTCGTTTGTTTTGGTGGTGGTGGTAGGTTGGTGAGTGTTTTGTCGGATGAAGTTGTCATTGTAGTCGTTCTTTGAAAAAACTCGGTAAAGGTATTTGTTCTTGTTGGAGAAGCTGTCTGTCGTGTTGCATACTAGTTTTGTACATCGTGTTAGAGTTCTGATAGTTGTGGCTTTGTGTGATATAGGGTTGTAAGATGACATGTCTAGTAATCTGTCGGTGTGTGTCAGTTTCCTGTAAACTTTCGTCCATAGTGAGTTGTCGTCATAGCTTACCAGACAGTCTAGAAAAGGAAGTTTGCCATTTTCTTCGACTTCTCTGGTAAACTGTATGTCAGTGTTTTGTCCATTATGGTGGTGGTGGAATGCGTCAATTTCGTCGTGTCTTACAGCGGTGAATGTGTTGTCAATGTAGTGTAACCAAAGCGGTATTCTTTGTGGGCAAGTTGAAAGGGCGAGTTCCTCGATGTTCTACATCACAATTTCTGCTACAACAACAGAAACTGGAGACCCCATGACTGTGCCATGTAACTGTTTGTAGTGTTTACTGTTGTACTGAAAGTAAGATGACGTGTTGGCAGCAGTAGTGGGTCGGTAGATTGTCGGATTGCAGACTCAGTACATTGTAGGGCCAATTGAAGTGGAATACTTGTAAACAGAAATTTCACGTCAAATGACACTAGTTTGTAGTCATCAGGTAGCGTTAATGAAGTCCTCAGTGGATTGTAGTTTATGTCTGGATTTGTCGGTCAGCATTTGTAGTATTGTTGTCAGGTACTTGGATAGTTGATAGGTAGGAGAACCACAGAAAGAAACAATAGGTCGGATTGGGAAACCAGGTTTGAGTAGTTTCGGCAAACCGTAGAGTTTCGGTGGCTGTGGTACTGAGCACCTTAGTTGATAGTACCGTTGGGTGTCAATGGCATTCGTTTTCTTGAGTGTCAGTAGTTTACTGTTGAGTTTGCATTGAAGTGCAGGAGTTGGGTCACGTTTGAGGTCTTTTGTAGGTTTGTTTGTCGTTCACCAGTGCATCCACTTTGTCATGTTAGTCAGTTTTGTCCATAACAACAGTAACTTGCCCTTTGTCGGCTGGTAGAATGACTACGTTCTTGTTGTTTCTCAGTCGATTGAAATTGTGCATAAGTTTTATTTGACTGTGCAGTCAGATTTTGATATATGATTAATTCTGCTCAAAGAAACATTTTCCATTTTGAATTGTGTTGCCTTGTTCGATTTGTGCTTATATCTTATATCTAGCTGAAAGAACATAATTTTTGCCAAATAGTGCATTATATAACCTTTCCATTAAATTATATAATTATAGTTAAAAATTAAGGCTTCAAATGCATGTAATGTTCAAAAAAAATTTTTTTCGCCAAAGACACGGGCAAAGGTCTGTTGTATCCTTAAGAAAAATAAGTGTCTGAGTAGCTATTAATAACAGTTTAGCCAATAGGAAAACCACCAATTAATATGAAACTAAAGTGTAAATGTGCTTCATTCTTATGACACCACTCCAAGCTGCAACCACTTAAAAGTTTGATGGTGCTATTTTTTGTATTCTTTTCTCTTGAAACTTTTTTTGATATCTTTTAATAAAAGTTCCCCTACTGGTAACTTGAATTTACAGAGTAGAAGTGGAATCATATCATTCTATCTCTGACTAATTCTTTTTCATCAGCTCTAATTGAGGATCATAAGGCAAGGAAGGCTGCACAAATCTTTGAAAAATTCAAGGAGCAAGGTTGAAAAAATTTTGTTTTTACTACTATTTTCCTCTAATCATAAATGAATAGGCCTTGACCCAATTTTACCCCCAGGCCTTGCATTTAAGGTGCAGACTGGCATATTGTAGTAGAAAAGTATTCTCAAAACTCCATAGTTAAATGTATACCCACAGGAAGACAACAGAGTGACAAAGACAGAGCTCGACACTAATGGTAGCCTGCTAGCCTCAGACTAGTAGAAATTCAGTTTTGGCCAGTGATTTTCGATTTCCACTAGCCAGTTTGGCTAGTAAACAAACTGAAATTGTGGTAACATCTAAGATATCACTAGCCACTTGGCTAGTAAGTAGAAAAGTTAGTGTTGAGCCCTGAAAGATTTACAAATGTTTAGTGCAAACAGGCTGTGGGAGTGAATTTTCAGTAAATAGTGTCATGATCATGCATTAGAGCTGTTAAAATACATTTTAATGAGTTTGCTTAGAGAGGATAAAAACAACAAAGTTGTACACAAGGTGCAGCTGATTGTGTCACTGATAGAATCTATCTTTTTTATGTGATAAAGAGGCAAAAAATTGTTAATGGTGACATCATCTATGCATCTGTCCTTTAATAGATCATAATTAAGTAAAAAGCAATCAAAATGCATTCGTAATTCAGCTAATCATATGAAGATGGTTTGTTAACATCACCTTTTACAGGGGTTGAAGTCTCACTGGAAACACAAAATCTGTTGCTTGACTTGGTTGCCTATAAACTAGGAACTGAATCAGCTGAAAAGACTTTAACTTCTGAAGTAAGTTTTAATAATAATAATAATAATAAAGACTATTTATACAAGGTAGCATGTAATAGCCACAGGTTAATAAACTTGAGGCCCTGATTTAATCAACTAATTACAAGTTAAAAATAGAATAACACTGAAAATTATAAAAAAAAATATCCGATTTTCATATAAAACTTGATCACTAAAATATGGTGAAAATGGTGTAAAAATTGCTGGTCCCTAAAAAACTTACTCCACAAGTTATGCTTAAAACAGGCTACAGAATCCACTTTCCTAGTAGATAAGGGTACATTATTCCAGAGTCTTGAAGCTGATACTGCAAATGTGAGCCCACCCTCGGTTTCTCTTTTATATTTAGGGCAAATAGTGTTAAGCGTTAAGGGTTTCCATAATGTTATTGTACATGCAACACAGCCAACTATTTTCAGATGAGAACTGAAATCATTTAACCTTAAGAGAAACATGATAGTGTTATCAATTGAATATACCAAAATCTGTTTGAAATTGTGCCTATTAAACATTTATTAATTGTCAGCAATATTTCCTTGATTCCTGAAGGAAAGGTCAGAGTATTTAGAGACTAGTGATGCAGATACAGATGAGAGTACAATGGGTAGTGATGATGAGCTAAGTACCCCTCAGGTATTTTATTTACATATACTACTTGTTTCTTTACTCACACAAGCCTAATGGCCCCTAACTGACTGCCAGGTAGTGTTCTCAGTTTCCATGATATAAAGTGTTTAAAACTTAGTTCCCCTAATAGAACACCTTACAAATTATTGTCAGGTGATGAAGACATTTGAAATTTTTAGGTAAATTTTCTGGTCTTACCTCCCATTTCAGGGATCTGTTAAGGCTTTGATTTTCATGGATCAGTCCTCTCTTTTAAGAATGTAACTTGTATCCCTCCCGTGGTTCCCTTCTTATTTATTTAGATTTACCTGGTTATTTATTATTATTTTCAATGTGATCCAATTAAACCTACTTTTAGTTTTTTTTTTTTTTTTTCCTGGAATTACAATACTCATTGATTCAAAAGCATGGAATAATCCAACATTGATTTGCATGTTATGAAAATTGCAGTTTGAATTTTTGAACTTCCTTTCAGATTAAAGAACTGATAAATAATTTGTGTATTTTATTCTATAGAATGATGGTGATAGAGATACGCTTTTATGGAAGTGAGTGAATGATTTATTTATTTATTTATTGTATACATGTATTGTTTATTGCTCCCTCTTTAACCCTTTAACTTCCAAGATTTGATTGTTAATTCTCCCCTCTAGCTGCTACACATCTCCTTGTAAATTAGTTTTGAGAATTTAGTGTTAGATCAAGATAACAACTTCCACCTGATAAGTTTGAGCATTTACTGGTTATTGTATTGAATAGTTTAGGAAGAAATTTCATGATAATCACTTTAGGGAGTTAAAGGGTGTGACTGTTGTTGTATTTTTTATAAACTATTCTCCTTGTTTTTTAAAATGAGCAACCAAAACAATTATGCTGGTAATTGTTGCCAGAGTTTCACGTGAAGTCTCCATACTTGGATGAAGAGAAAGAGAGAACTTTTTTATAAAGTTTTTTATAGTGTATCCATATATCTCACTTGAAACACAAAGTTTAAAAAAAATGTTAAGGTTTGCTATGTTCCCACTAGCTCAATACCATACGCAGATGGTGACTCATTCTGAAAATTACATGTAAGATGCCATGATTTTCCTCTGCTTACCATGGAAATCAAAACAGTACTTTTTTTCCTACTGAACTGAAAAGTTGTTATGTCTTTTTTTAAACAGCAGTGACAATTATGCTGAACAATTGTTCAAAAGTATGATGACAAAAGATGGCAGAACATATGAAGCTATGATACTAGGTTTGATAAAGGTATTACACTTCAAATGGGTTTAATTGATGACAAGTCATTTTTTCTTTTATTGGGCAGGTATGTACGTGAGTTTTTAAGACAGACAGATTCCTGTATCATGACCCAAGTAGTTCCTGCTTTAATTCTTGCTCTGAGACTATTGAGATGGCTACACATGACTGGGTGTGCAGCTCTGCGGCTCAGCGCTAAATTAATATCCACCACTATTTAACTTCACTTTGGTAAATAATTGTTACCAGTAATTATTTTATGCAGAGAAAAATGATTTGTCTCCAATATATAACCTTTAGTAATGGGAGTGTCTCCTCTCTGGTTTTGGTATTCACAACCGATCTATGTGCAAAGCAATCAGAACATAATTATACAGAAAACATGATGAACCTCTTTGAAACAATGGTTATTGTCTTCCTCTTTTTAGTTCAGAGCTTACAAAAGAGCCTTTGATATGCTAATTGATGGAATGAGAGCAAATGGACACCAAGGTGGGATTTCTATTATTTAAATATCTTAGTGATAAATATAATTATGTTTATGATTGAATTATTTAAATTTTTCTGTTAGTTTAATGCTCATGAAAATCATGCAATTATTTTTGTTAATTTGCAGCTTCTTTGTTGACATACAATTATCTAATAAAGGGAATCTCAAGACTTGCAAATTGGGAGATGGTACAGGTCAGTACACAGTTGAACCAGCTGACTGTATTAAGTGGCACTGTGTAAAGCAGTCACCCTGTATTTAGTGGTCAATACTATCATGTAGAAGTGTACATGTAGTTGTATGGCCCTGTTTGTGAAAAAAGTTTGAGCAAGTACATGCTTGGAGCCTAAATGATCTTTTAATAGTCTACTCCAATGACCATGGACACTAAGTATGATTGAAGTCTAAATTACTGACCAGTCTGATATTGAAGTCTAAATGACTGACCAGTCTGATATTGAAGTCTAAATTACTGACCAGTCTGATATTGAAGTCTAAATTACTGACCAGTCTGACATTTTGACTTCCCAATCTCAGATTCTTATCAAAGAAATGGGTAAAGCACCTGTGGTCATTCCTGACATCGGTAAGTTTATTTATACATCTTCTATCATTTTTTACTATTGTAATAATTCCTTTGAAACACATTGTTCGTGTCATTTTTCTCTAGTGGGATGTGCCAGGTTTTCTTTTTTGCATGGGAGTTAATCTTCTGCACCGCTACCTTTTAGCATCATTATACAACCTTTAGTTATTTTCAATGTGGAGGCATGGTGGCCTCATTGTTGGTGCGCTCAACTCCAGATCGAGTGGTCTGGGTTTGAGCCCTGGCCAGGACATTGTGTTGTGTTCTTAGGCAAGACACTTTACTCTCACAGTGCCTCTCTTCACCCAGGTGTATAAATGGGTACTGGCAATTTAATGCTGGGGGTAACCCTGCGATGGACTAGCATCCCATCCAGGGAGGAGCAGAAATACTCCTAGTTGCTTCATGCTACAGAAACCAGAGTTAAGCACCGGCCTAATGGGCCACTAGGCTCATAAACAGACTTTACCTAGTTATTTTCAATACTATAAAAATTGTGCTGTATCAGTTGCAGTCTTTAACTGCCTAATTTAACCTAGTCAGCAAAATTTTCATTTAATGGGTATTCATTTGTATTTCTTTTCTAGTCACATTTAATTCCCTTATGAGGACTGCTGTTGTAGCAGTTGAAGAAGGACAAAGAACAAGGCTTGTATTGTCTTTGATAAGAGACATGAAAGATCTGGGAATAAGTAAGTTCCAAAATAATTATAGGTTACACATAAGTGCATATGTAATCTAAATTTTTCTATTCTTTGTATTTTGTAAGGGGACAAATGTCAATTGGGGCTCACCCTGTATTTCTCTCCTGCCATTATATTTTTGTTTATTTATTGCGTGTCTCTGTTCATGTATTTACTTGTAAATTGTATTTTTCAGTGGCAAATCTCAATAAATTAAACTAAACTAAGTAAGTTGTGTATGTTATATAGGGGTCCCTGCATCATGACCTAGACACTTCTTGAATCTTTTAATTTGGTACTCTGTACATTGCGAACCCCTGAAATCACATTTACGAGTACTTTTAGACCTTGCATTGTTATCCCCAACACCTTGGGTCAACTGCAGTACAAAGAAGTAATACATATATCTTATTAACCAAGCGCGAGGGCCGTACTGGGAGAATATCGGCCCAAGGTCTTGACAGTACGGACGAAGCGCAGCTGATATTCTTCCAGTATACTGTCCCGAGCAAGCTTGGTTAATAAGAGATTTATTATACGACTGAAGTTCAAAGGGACACAAGTGCGGTATCATTCGGGACCATTCAGGACAGTGCCCAGTCCAATACTGATAGAATATTGACCAGCAATAGAGCATTTTGATTGGTTGATTTTAGTTATTGGCCCTCTGACTGCCCGAGTCAAATATCAGGACTGAAGAAAGAGAATTTACTCACTTGAATTTGGAGGTTATATCAAAATTTAGTATAATTTCGGAGCTGAGCAAAGAGTTTCCAGCAATCTGATTGGTCGAGCGGTTCCTTATATGACGCTATATAAACTGCTCCGCGCAGTTTATATGAAATGTTAAACTAAAATGTTAATGAATGTTACTAAAATGTTATGATTTTAGAAATTTCTCTGTTGTTCAGCTCTGAAATTATACTAAAACAATTATTCGCCTCAGGTTCGGAGAATACTGTCGAATAATCCCCGAGACGAAGTCGAGGGGATTATTCGACGATATTCACCTCGTCTTCGGCAAATAATTGTTAAATAGTACATGCAAATTGCTGCTTTAGTGAAATGTCAGTTGATTATTTGTTATATGGCAATAATAATGAAAGGGCTATTTTGAGTTGAATTAGATGTCTGCTCTGCGTAAGGGAAACTTCAGATTTTTATGACTAATGGAAAGTATGTTTTCTTTAAGCGCCATCAATGGAAACATACCATCAGTTACTACGAGCAGAATACCTGCCATTTTGGCAGAAGAAGAATGCAAGGCGGAAGAACAAACGTAAATGTCAAATTATATGCATAACATCTACTATTTGTAAGTGCTGATTATGAAGTTCATCCCCATCCAAGAAGAAATCAAAAGGCTGATAGGAAACCAGCAGCCTTGTAAATAGACTACCAGAAAAAGGGCTTTTAGGCATGTGGCATAGTGGCAAAGAAGAAACAAGAAAGAAGACAGGCAGACAGTTGGACTGTTAGTTAGAGAAACAATTCATCTTTCAAATCAGCACTCTTAATTAATCCCCACAGTATCAATGAAAGCTTTTCATTCAAAAAAATTATTCTTGTTCTCATGTTAACATGTTCTTGCCAAAAGCAAACCTTTGTTTTCCTCTTTTAAAACACATGCAACCCACAATTTCTTTATTCACCCTGATGAGGGGCTAATGCTTGAAATGTCAGCTTTCAAAACCCTCTGTATTGTCCAATTTACACTATCAACTCAACCAAATTATCTGGTAAGACAGATGGACAGACACACAAAGGAGACAACCAAAAAGCACATTGAAGTAGATTAAGAGTCACCCCCAAAAACTGGAAGGCCAGACAAACATGTAGACAAACAAATACAGATATTACTATGTGTACCTGGACAACTCCAAACAAAAACATTTCCTTTAATGAACCCGTACTTTCAAGTAGACCCGCTGATGGGTAAACAAGAGTCTGTGAGACAATCTGATGGAGAAAGTATATATCCACCATTATTATTACTATATCACTTAAAAGCTTTTTCTTTTCTCCATGTCTTTTCAGAACCATTGCAAAAGATGTTTGCAAATCCTGCTGTTCTTGATCTTGTTGTTACTCAACTGGAATCACTGCCCAATCTACCCCCCATTGTGGACCCAGAAGATAGTAAGACTCCTATTAAGGAAATCCACCTTTTTGAAGCCTTTCACAAGATGAGCTCACATTTTTCTCTAGTATTGGCTATTTTGTCCATTTTGTCTGTGCCACTGTTGCCAAACCCCCTCAATAGCTGTTATAATAATTTCAAATGTCTTTCTACTTTAGAAGAAAAGACTTTGCCAAGTCCATTATTAAGGAATGTTTCCAGTGGTCTCTGTGTGTTTGTAGACCTTTTGGGCTTGAGCTTTTTCTAGTTGGTGATCATTTCCTTAATGTGTGCTTTAGGCATGACATTCTAAGGAGAAATAATACGCTAGTCACACCTAGGAGTTGAAGTGTTAAACACTTAAGATACAATGCAAGAAAAAACTCAGATAATTGAGGCTCGACTATAATTATGCCCCATTATTGTTGAGATTGAAGAATTATAATTATGTGAAAATTTACCTAATAATTTTTTTGTTTTGAGCTGATGAGAAAAAAAATCTATTTTTCAGCTAACTTCTTTACCACAGCCATGAGTGCAGTAAGTATTTTTACCTAAAAATTACGCTCATGTTTACAAATGTTTGATCAGAAATGAAGTCTTGAGAGCATTTCCTTGATACTAATAATGAGACCCCCCTCCCCTTTCGAGAAAGATTCCCCACTAATTGCCCACTTATAGTTGCTCTTTTCAGTAACTTGCAAGTTGCATGATTGCATGATGTTGGAGACAGACCATTAACAAAACACTGCTGTCTATCATGTTGCAGACAAAAAAAACAATTGAAATAAATGCCTTCGATTTAGCTCCACTTTCCTCAGAAAAGAAAGTGATTAAACAATATTTTCAACTTTTCTTAAGTGTCCCCTCCCAATGTTTGTTTTGAAAACAGCATAAACAATGTAGGTCACCGTGCTTGTTTAAGAGATTATGGTGGGCTGATCTTACCCTGTTTATTCCTGCACTGGCACTAATTGCATGCATCATTTCATCAGTTCATGGTACATTTTGGTTTCAAGGGTAACAATTGGAAAAAACTTACTAGAGCATATGGAACAATTTGTGGGAAAATTTCACAATTTTCGACAACACTAACTCAAAATGTTCCTCAAGTCATTGCTTTCAAGGTTAGAACTTACATCTTCAAGTAACAGGCTTCATGCACACTTTAAGCTATATCTTTTTTTTTTCTTTGATAACTTTTTTTCCAATTTAAAAGGGATAATTTGTACACCAAAATGATGCAATGAAAAAATTAGGTCACCATTCTCATTCAAGAGCTTAAGACTGTTATACCTCTTTACCTAATTCATTAATTGAAAAACGACACGATATCTTGGAATGCATGTTTGCTTATTTGCCTGATTTTCATGCACAGTACAGGATGTACAATGCAATACTGAGGAATCAGCTCGACAAAAGGGATGGATGAAAACAAGCTAGGGAAATTCAATTTTAGAATTGTCACTCAAGGCCTTCTTCTCCCACATTGCTTCATTTTAAGATTGCCCATTTAATTTTTTTAAAAATAAGAAAAATGAACAAAACAATTTGAACCCAAGTTACACAAGTCATAGGAAGATCAGTTCTGGCCTAATAAAAGACCTCAGAATTGACAAAACAGTCTTGCCCATTTGATCAAAAATTAATATTTAAAAAAAAAATTATGTGAAAGCAATCCATGATTGATTTTGATTTGTTCTTTTTAAAGGCTGTTATTTGTATCGATGCTGATCTAGCAATACGTGTGTACAACTTGGCGGAGAAAGAGAATAATGCTGCCTTTCTTGGTGTGAAATATTCTAGGTTCTAGTAAGTAATTTTTTTTTTTGGAATTATTTGTGGTCTACAAACAAGAACAATCCTGCCATAGTATACACACTAGTATGTATATGAGAACGATCCTTCGCAGTAAAGCACTATTTGAGCAATAGTGAAAATCAGACCTGAAAAAAATTTCAGGCCTGTACGGGATTCGAACCACTGACCTCTGCGATACTAGTGCAGCGCTCTACCAATTGAGCTAACAAGCCAACTGGGAGCAGGCCATCAAATTAATTCGATATAAATATTTCTTTCTCATATACACACTAGTATATGAGAAAGAAATCTCAGGGCTGTACTGCCTCAAGAAAGAATTTAGTATGACCTTACTGTTGCTTATATGCTTTGTATACTACTGGTTTTACAAAGAAGACCTGCTTAAGCAAAATTAATGTACACAGATGTAGTGAGATCCTTTTCATGTGGAAAAAAAAATGCTGTGAGAGATCATCATGTCATCCCATCTGGATTGGGTGACTGCGCTCTTTGAGTTAACCAGCCATGAAGATTTGTTTGATTTGGAAGTTACTAAGCAACTAATTTCTGTGGATCATTAAATCAAATGATAAACCAGCCTGTCAATCAGTCAGGCAGTCAATCAATCACAACAACACATTGTTCTTCTAATTTACTGGCTCAGGGATTGATCGATTGATTGGCTGACAAGTAAATAAATTGACTGACCAATTGATTCTTTAATTGATGTCATCACTTTTTTATTTTTCCATCCAATTGTTTGTGTGTACATCCATTCATTCATTACTTCTTCTGTAGTGCCACATTTTTTGTGGCCCTCTCAGTATCAGATGTGGACTTTCATATACTTTATAAGTACTACAAAGAAGTTATACCTGAGGTATGTTTGTCAACTGCTCTGTATTATTGAATCTTTTGATCCATTGTTTGAGGGAGAAAGCTTGTTGTTGTAAAGACTTCATCATAAAGCATGCTTTTTTTGTCTTTTATTGCCTCTTTATTATTCTAATCCCCCTAGTTTACTGTCTTACAGTTTTTCTAAAGTTACCTTCAAGCTCAATGGTTGAGCATCTGAAGTACTAATCAGATCAAAGATCATAGGTTTGACTCCTATTTGGGACACTCTGAGCTAATTTTCTCTGAGTATGCATTTGTTATTTACTTTGTTACAAAACAGCTTGAACTATTTTGGCACACCCCCTTTGAAATGAGAAATGATGCCAGAAGAGAAGAGAAATTAGGTGTAAACCTTTTAAGTCATTGTCAAGGTGAAGCAAATATCCCAGCTCAAGAGAAGATAGACATAGGCGTACGGGCAATTTTTTGCCAGGGGGGGGGGGGGCGGTGAACTATTTTCCCAAAAAATTCTCACAAGTTGCCCAAATGTCTACGAAACAGTCGTGATATGATACACTAACATAGACGTACATATAAAACACGTTAAAACAAATAGCTGTCTGTCATTTCGACGGCCAAATATATCAATGATACGATCCATGTCTTTCTGGACTACAGAGTTGGCATATTCCCTTTCATTGTTAATAAGTGCGATGTTACTAACACGTTGTTGCCCCATGGTGCTATGGAGGTAACTTTTCAATCTGCGCAACCCATTGAATGATTGTTCTGCAGAACATGATGCAGCAGGTATCACTGCAAGGAGATGTACCACACCAGAAAACTCTGGGAACATATCAAATAGATCATTCTCATGCATTGTCTGCAACATTTCTGAAACAGTCATATAGCCTAATCCACGTACACGACGAAAACTCACGTACATTTTCTGCTCGGCTTCCAGAATCTCCCCGTCGATTTTGTAAAATTTAGCAACTCAGGAGAAGCTTTCGTATCTGGTGTTTCACTCTGACAGATATTTCCCAAATCACATAGCATTTCCTGGTCATTTCCGCTAAACCTGAGCTCAAGCTTGGACAGCACCTTATCGATGGACGCATAGTGAGTGTTTATACAATGGTGCGATTCTGGTGTCTGCGTTTGTCTTTGCGTGTTCACCTACGAGGGTTTGAAGGTGGCAGGACGGTGTTTGTCTGGGTGCCCTGGTTTCTTGTAATTCAAACTGAGAATTGGTCAGCCAATTCTTCATTTTCAGACCCATTGCTGATGCTAACTGCCATACACTTTTGAAACGTTCTTCACTCCGACACTGGCGTAGGGTCTGAATGGTCAAGTTGGCATTTCTATGAGTGGAGATGACTTTGACCGTCTTCCCCTGAAGATATCGGCACAGACTACTAGTCTTGCTCAGGATTACTCTCAGTACACACAGCCCAAAGACAAACTCCAAGTCACAAATGGCGTTCAATAAGGCTCTACTCTCAGAGTAGGTTTTTCGATCTTTGTCTGAAGACAGTGTGAGCAGGGCTTTTACAATCCGTTCCATTTGCCCACGTACGGCCTTTGCAGCTTCCCACCAGCATGACTGTAGCGTGGTACTTAATGACTTCAGCGTCAGTTTTAGATCCTCACCTTGTACGTCTGCATCACTAAACAAGGCGTGTTGTTTGGGACTCGCTTCTAAAAAGTTGTACAGAGCCTGGAAAGTTCCCAGAGCATTTCACAATTGTTCAATCTGTGTCACAGTATCCTTAAGGGCGAGGCTGAGCACATGTCCGTAACAGTGGACGTAGATACCGAGCGGAGAGCACTCTTCCATTCTTTACGCCATAAAGGACGTGGTGAAGCCAGTTAAATTCACACAAGACAGTGGTTGCCGAGCACGTGACTCAGATCTTCTGAGATTCTCCAGTGGATAACCTACAATATGATCCTAGAAAGTTATGCCAAAATTGACTCTAATTAATTCACGACTGGAAATTCCTCACTGTAACTAGTGCAGTGCAGCAGACTACACAGTGCCCAGTAACAACAAAATTACAAATATGTATATCAATATATGATCCCCTTCAAAAATAACCAGAAAGTGATCACGTGCTAGGCAACCACTGTCTTGCGTGAATTTAACTGCCTTTACAACGTAGGCTCGATTACCAGCTGCTGTTCGGGAAAATGAGCCCGCACTCATCCCCCCAAAGGGGAAGATCAAACACCGGACCCGGGAGACGGTGGAAATCGAGCCTATTTAAAAAAAGAAAGCCTATTTTTAAAAAAAAATGCCAACTTCAGGTTGAAACAGAAAATGTCTCTTGGAAAAAAAATACAGACACATGCAAGCTTCTTTAAAAACTAGCTTTGCCCAAATTTCTCGTGCTGCCCAAAAAATCTGAGTTGCCCCCGCCC